CTCTCTCTCTCTCTCTCTCCCTCTCTCCCTCTCTCTATCTATTTCTTTCTTTCTCCCTCTCTCTCTCTCCCGATCTCTCACTCATTCTCTCTTTCTTTTCTTTCCCTTCACTCCCCCTTGACCTCTCTTTTTCTTTCTTCTTCTCCATCTCTCTCACTTTCTCTATCTGTGTGTGTGTGCACTGACAATGTATGGAAGGGAAAATTTGAGTCCTCTTTGCTATACTGAACTTTTGCTTATATTTTTTGGGTGGTTTTTTTTGGTAAGTGTTTTACGACGCTTGCAAGGGCATAAAGTCATATGAGCGTGCGGGACACATTAAACATTTTCAGTTTGTAGGAAGTTTTTTAAATTTTGCCCGGGTGTCGGCCGAAGCCTACTCTTGTCAATTTTAGACCACCAAGGGATCTTTAACGTGCACAACTCCGAGATTTTTTGCCCTTGTTCAAGAAGGCTAGGTGTAGATCTTCCTTACCAGAAGATCAGGGGTGTGGCTGAAAGACAGCATCTTGCTAATGGGAGTTCTTCATTCCTGAAGAGGGCTCTGTGGTTGACTGGTTTTTGCTGCCAAAGTTCTCCACTGTTCCTGTTCCGAATAATGTGGTATTTGATATATATATTTTTCCACTGTCTTTTCAGATTCTTGTTATTACAAAGGAGCTTACCATGGTCAAGGTCAGAAATGGAGAGACGGATGTGAATTTAATTGTGAGTGCATCGATGGATCCACTGGAAAATATGAGTGTCTTGAATTGTGAGTGTCTTGAGTTAGATTTAAGTTAGTGACTTCTTCCTTGATCATTCAAGCAGTCCGATTAAATTTTTCAATACTGATTATAACCCAGTTTCTTCATTTTTCAGTTTTGTGATTCAACTTTATTGGTCAATGCAAACTTTTCTTTTTACTGACAAACTATTTAGTAAAACTGACAGTTCCTTACTTTTCATGTAATTCTTCTTTTTTTATTGGTCTTTTTATGACTTTTTTGTTTCATGTATTTCCTTTAAAATTGCAAAAAATAGTTTCTAGTACTGCCTTAATCTGTAACAGAAAGGAAGCAAAGAAGATTAGTTTTTTTTTATTGTCTGTCACTATTCTTTCTTTTTGAAGACTATATTGTGCTCCCTATATTGGGTCTTTGTGGGTTTTTAAAAAATGAAATCAAACTTGTGTATTTGTGTGCGGCAGTCGTATACTGCTTTTTCCCTCTTCCTTTTCAACGTTACTTTCATCATGTGAGCTGTTGGAGAGCACCACTGATAGGTCGTACTTCTTTTCTTTCCATCTGTGCTTTCTAACTGTCTGTCTTGTGGTGTTGGTGGCCTAGTGGTGAGGCTATCGGACTCATAATCGTGAGGTTGCGGGGTCAGGGGTTCGGGCCGCTGGCCCAACGTTGTGTCCTTGGGAAAGGCACTTTACACGAATTTTCCTCACTTCACCCTGGTGGAAAAGGGTACCCGGCCATAGACAGCAAAAGATCTTGTCACTATGTTTGTATTTTAGAGCCTATAAATTGCTGCTTGCACTGTATGCTTCCCATAAAGTCGAGTTTGTTTCAGGTCTGCTGGGGTAATAGTATAGATTGTGAAGCGCATAGAGCTTGCTGTTGAGCGGGGATTTGCGCTATACGAATGCAATCTATTGTTACTGTGTCTAGCTTTTTACCTGCTATAGACAAATGTTATGGTGTTAATTATCTTCTCTGTACTTAAAAAAACAAAAAAACTTTAGAAACAGTCTTTGTCTTAAACTCTGCTGTTTTCCTGCTGTCTCACTGTTAACCTCAACTCAGATCCACTCCTCTTGAATCCACCCAGAAGGTGGTTGGCAGGTGCACTGATGTGGTTTGCTTCTTCTTTTCCATAAAACATCTGTTGTCCTTATCTCTCCTTCTTTCACACACTAATTGTAAATTGGCTGATTCATCAAGGTCATGCTCATATCTGTACCTGAACTGCAACAGTGAACTGCTGCTTTTTCTTTACTAATCCTTACAGTCATCATTTTCCTCTACTTCTTTTGTATGTTTGTCTCACTCTTGTGACCTGCTATTTCCGGAGTGCCTTGATAGTCAAAGCATACTTTGTGTTATTGAAGCTAGAGAGGTGAGCAGAGTAAGTCTGATTATTTGTAAGGACTTCTCTGTTCACATCCACCCCTTGGCACTCACATGACCTTATGCAGTTGTGAGCACCATAAAACCTCTCCTAAAACTAAAACTCTTCTCTTTTCTTGTGTTTGTCACTCTCTTGTAACGCCTCTAATTTTTGGCACCCATATGACCTAATTGTGCTGCAAAAACTGTAAAACATTTTATTAAAACTAAAAAAACGAAAGTCCACTGACTTTGTGTGTATTCTCTCTAGATGTCCGCGCTATCCGAACACGGCCACTTGCCCCATGGTCAGAGACCCTAACAACCCGTGCTGCCTTAAGCCTGACTGTAACACTCCGAGCGTGACACCACCCTCCATCACCGGCCCTGTTCCTGTCACAGTGAAGCCTCTGCCCACCCCATACCCCGTACAGCACACTACTCTGGTGCCCAAGACAGGTAACTGCATGCTGTCACTCTCAGTTATTTTACTCCCTCTTTCTGTCCCCATGGTTTTATGCACCCCGCATAATTTAGCAAAATTTGATCTTTTTTTTGCATAATTTCTGATTGTTTTCTTCTATCATTCTTTGTTAAAATGAACAGAAGGGCATAAAAATCACATTTTTGGGCTCAGATTGCATAATTTCAAAATTTTTCTTGTATAAAACGACGGGGGACAGCTATTTCCACAAGCTACTCCCAGTGGCTTGTGGTTGGAACTACTGTGCCAGTCAGTTTTTAAGTCGCTGAAGATATGAAGTGAAAAGAACTCATAAAGGTGTTAATACTGATGATCATATGTGAAGCATATGCTGATAAAATGAGTTACCTCTCGGATTTGAGCCCTATGGAAAAGGATACACCACGCTTATTGGTAAAGATTTTACAAAGTACACGTATTATAATAATAAAGGCACGTTATTCGTAAAGAATATAGCATCTATAGAAACTCTACAAATTTGAGCCTCGTGTTGATTTTTGGCCAATATCTCCATTTGTGGATTGCGAGAAGTAACTCATTTTGTCAGCATGTCTCACATATCATGCGTTTGAGTCCGTAAAGCAAGATCTGGGAATACTTTTTAATTTAGGCACATGTTCCATCAATAAGTGAATGTTTAATTAAATCTTGCTGGTATCTAAAAATTCAGCTCATATCTCAAGATAAAAAATCAGCTGACCTCCGGCATGTATCTCAGTAAACTTGTATGTTGATGTGCATGTATCTCAAGGCTTTTCTAGACCTATTTACCTCCACACAGATAATGTGGGTTCTTAGTACACATTCTAATGTAGTCTGTTACTGCTACCTCTTTTTTTGCCCTTCCATTATCTTAACCCTATCTGTACTCCGTCGGGTCATTTTGTACCCCCGGGGTTGTATTCTTCACATTTTAAAATACTTCTAGAACAAAGATCTCTTTGAAACATTCAGTCTTTCTTGAAAAATAATTTTGACATACTGCTATGCAAAGCGTACGGATCGGATTAACGAGTAAATTTCCTCTTTTGAAAGTGGTGGCACAGAGTTTCCCACGTTGTATGGATACGATAGTAAAACACGACATACGGATAGGGTTAATTTGTGTTCACAACGAAATGTGGCTGATGTTGTTCCGAGAACTCATACCTTCACCGTAGTGTGACAATATTCGTTTCTCTTCTCTTTTATTCTTGATCACTCCAGCATTCTGTGTGTACCAAGGCCTGCCCTACAAGCAGTTTGACACCTGGACAGATGGATGTGACTTCAAGTGTCGCTGTGAAGATGCTGCCGTCAATCGGGTTAACTGTGATCAAAGGTATTTTTATGATTCTGTTTTATTTCCTGAGGGAGGGTAAAGTTACTTTTCCTCATCTTTCTCAGTTGCCCAATCTGTATTTGATGGGTAATTGGTAGAGATGGAATGTATAGTTAGCAGGGGGTATGCTCCCAACAGTCTTCATTGATGTGCATCCTGCAATTAAGGACATAAATGGTAGGAAAAGGCTAGCCGTTCAGAGTTAAGGTTTAGATCAGTTTAGAGGCAAGTTGCATCACCTTTGCCTATCGAGGCCAACTCAGGCTGAATGGGATACTACCTCCCAGAAGACAGACAAAGGCAGCCAATAAAAAATGCCTCACTCAGGAATGGAAGTCACGTCTTTTGTGGGCTGTGGCAAAGAGCGTAAATGTTACCGGCAGATTTTTGTTGGTCTCTTAGGCAGGTGAATGATTATAAAAGAATGTTCTAGCTTTAATTCTACACTTTGCTATGATCGATGCTTTATTAACTTTGACGTTATCATTCTTGTTTGATAGATGCCCCAGCTACAGTAATCTGCCGAGTGGTTGTTCTTTGGTCACCGACCCCAGCGACCCATGTTGCCAGGTGCCCAACTGTGTGCCGGCTCCTGGCCAGACACCAGCGCCGACAGCCACAGGCGTCGTTGGTGTGGTCACTGGGAGAGCTCTACCAGATCCTGCCTACCCTAACCCTCCAGGTAGATCTGCATGTTACCAGTCAGTGATATCGTTCTGTTTGGTAACTGTGGAATAATGTACATTGCATAACACCTCTTTTGTAACTGTTATGTAACATATCCGGATTTAGACAGTACTTTTGTTTTACTCAGTAGTCACTTTTTGGTTAGAGTGTACTAGAGAACAAAGATAAAACAGAGAGCCCTTTCCAGCATGCGTTTTTTCACTCTCTCTAAATCTGTTTGTACCCACAAACTGAACAATATTACATTAACCACTCAATGACAGTCTTGCTATTTACCTCTGTCTAAAGACATTGTCAGTTTTAAAAAATGTAATACCTAAACGTTTCAGTTTAAAATGAATGTTTTCTTTCATTTTCTCTCTCCAACAATTTTAATCCTTCTTGTTAACCTCTTCGCTGCCACGCCTGTAGAATTTACGGGCTTGAATCATGATGTAGCGCTGCGCCTATGGCCAGTAGGATTAACTATAGGACTATGACACAACATGTATTCCCCTTTTTTGGTCTCAGCTTATCATTACTCGAATGTGTGTTGTTTATGTTGTTTAGCAGTGTTGCTTTTTACATCTAACTCCAACTTTTTTCCATCTATCTCTTAAAGAAATCCCCCCCCTCTCCCCCCCCTCTCCAAATTATATTTTTTTAAATGTGGTTTAATGTAAAATGTACGTGCAGAAATTCATGAGGAAATATTCATAACTAAAACACTTATGGGAGGTAGAGTGGGGTCACCTCTGAGCTGCCTTGGTTCATGGGATTTCACCTAGGATGGGGGGGGGGGGGGGGGGGGGGGGCTTATATACCTGCAGCCTTGAGGGGGTTGAACTTTATTCATTTTCAGATCACAAATTGAAGGGGAAACCTTTTGCTCCTTTCTTAAGCTGGAGACAAAGTCATTTATCTAAACTAATGGCTGGTCCATGATATGTAAAGTAAAGTTGTTCCCCCATCCGATCTGGACATTGGGGATTGCGTTGTTAGTGAGACAACTTTCTGGGCCTTTGGCATATTGTGGTAGGGTGGCCAGTTCCTTTCCACGCCACCTTTACTTCCCCAACTCGAAGTCAGGTACCCATTACTGCTGGGTAGGCAGGAGGGGGCGAAAAAAACATTTGTCCGAACCGAGGCTTGAACCTGGACTTTCCGTTTCGGAGACGAGCGCACTAACCGCTCCGCCACCGCACCCTCTACATAATATGTACTAGAGAAAAAAAAAAGAAAAATATTCTTGAGGTTTTTCTTGACTTCCAGGTATGTGTGTTTATCACGGGAAGACATACCGAGAAGGAGACAAGTGGCAGGATGACTGCTCCTTTAACTGCCAGTGTATTGACGGCACCAATGGATACTACTACTGCACAGAGAGGTCCTTATTTGTGAGACATTGTGGTGAAATCAGGCGCTCGTCAAAAAAATGAAATCGAAGACACAGGCATTTTCCCTCCAGTTTGGCAACATTTATCAAATGTTTGTTTTAGGCTCAACACCTTTTATGTCCATATAAAAACCCATTTTTGTGTCAATTTTGCGGAAAAACGTTGATTAATGGCACAAATTTTCAGTTTTCAAGGACCTCAAGCTATAGAAGTTACAAAACTTTGGCGGCCATTTTCTCAATAATTTTACCTCTAAAACCATGTTACCCCACCTCCTTCAATTGCAAATATTTCGACTTCTATTCAAGATAGACGGATGTTTTTTTTAATAATAAACAAGTTAAACAAATAAGCTTTCAGATTATACCAATAACTCCACATGCCCAGAAATTGCCGAGCGCCTGATTCCACCACGTCGTGACACGTTTGTTTTTGTGCTCAATGTTCACTTGATATGATTTATTCATGTTGGTTTGTCGCTCTGGCAAAGTGGTTAGAGTATACAAGAAGGAGAAAAAAGATAATTACTTTGAGGATAATACTTGACAGTGAATGTTTCTCCCTCTTCTCTCATCCCTTCCTCTTTCTCACTCTCTTTCCCTTCCCCCTCTCTCCTTTGTCTCTTCTCTCCCTCTCTCTCTCTCTCTCTCTCTCTCTCTCTCTCTCTCTCTCTCTCTCTCTCTTTCTCTCTCTCTCTCTCTCTCTCTCTCTCTCTCTCTCATGAGATGTTCTGAAATAATGCCACTGTAAAGCGATACCCTTAGCAGCAAATATGTGAATTCTTTGTAAAAATCACAAAGAGCATAAGGCTTTTGTCAGAATGAGCATAGATGTGTGTTGCTCTCAGAGTATGAATCTATATAACTCCAAAGGTCTTGTAATTAAATTCCTGCATGTTGGTGAATGATGCATCTGATGTGAATGTACATATTGTCAGCTTTACTTCTCTTTTCACATTGAATTTTGATGAGGATAGTATATAATTTAAATTTTTTATGTATACATGCGTGTGTTTTTACAGTCCTGTACTGCCAAGAAAAATTTCCCTCTGGGATAATATAGTATTATCTATCTTATCTTATCTTATCAATTCCCTTTGACTTTTTCTGCAGGTGTTCGCGCTACCCGTCAGTGCCGCAGGGATGCCACCTTGAGCCCGACCCTCAGGACCTCTGCTGTGAGGCTCTGATCTGCGAGGGGCCAGCCCCCCCGACCCTGGCACCGGTCAGTCCGACAGGCAACACCGGGCCGGTCACTGTCCCCATTGTGGCGCCCACACTGCCTGTCAGCCAGGGTGTGTCTGTGCCCACACCTCCTGCCCCAACGGCCACCCTGAAGCCACCTGCAGTAGGTGAGAACACAAAACTTGTAATTGGTCGCTTTTTTGTTTGTTCCTTGTTGCTTTTATATAGTCAAAACTGTCTAAGGCGGCCACCCATTGTTGAGGAGTGAGGTGGCTGTCTTACACAGTGATGGCAAGTGGCTGTTTGTTCAGGTGATCATCTTATACACATGAATGTTACAGCAGGTTTGACTGTATTGGATTTAAAATCCCGCTCACACTATGTTGGCCCCCATGGACATTGTTTAACTCTTTAGACCCTGAGTTTTTTCCACCATTTCCCGGAGTTCTACAGTCACAAAACCTGGTGCACTATGTCTCATTATAACCCCAAAAGCTTGCCTCCAAACTTCTAAATGGCGGAAACAAAGGCTTAGTCATTACTAAAAAACTTGGTTCGGGAATAATTCTAAAAAACGAGCGAAAACTAGCAATAAATGAAACAAAACAGTAGTCACTGGTACTGGACGCCCCCTGCATCCAATGGGGAACAGGGCTATTACTACTGGACGCTCCCAGTGTCCGATGGGGTTTAAAGAGTTGAGCAGCTATCCACCTACATGATCTCAATGATGTTGAACAAGATGTCAAATATTTTTTAAAATTGTCATACGATGGTTTCCCTCTTTCAGACGTGTGTGTCTACAAGGGTCAACTGTACCTGCAAGGACAAAGCTGGTACGATGGCTGTCGCATGCAGTGCTCATGCGATAATGCAACAATCCAGTACTACAGCTGCCAGGAAAGGTCAGAATTTGAACTCTCATATTGTCATTTTTACACACAGGCAAACCACTCATTAACCAAAAAAAGGAGTTTTCCTCAAAACTCCCCCCAAAATATAAGTTTAAGGGAGGGTAGGTGGGGAGGGGGAGGGAATCAGATTCCTGAGAACCCAAGTAGATTGAGATTACACAACAAACCAACAATGGCAAATAAATAAACATTAGAAAATGTGTGATAAGTTGCGCAAAATTAGCAAACAAGTGTAATTAGAAATGTGCATTAAAACATCATTTATGATAATTGGCTTACAACCGATGGAAACAGAATTCAAGTTTTTGTTTAAAAAAAGAAGGATTTCATGTAAATTTATTGATCTGGGTACTTTGATGGGTTAAAAAAATTTCTTTTTATTAAAAAGCTCCAATTTTATCTGAGTACTTGGCAGGTCTGCTATCACAAGAAAAATTACATACTCCAATGTAACCATAGCCATTCACTGACATTTGAATTTCAGCTATCAACCCGCAGTAAACGATACATTTCTAAAAATGCAAAAACAGACAGATATAGAAATTCATTCAGAGAGAGAGAGAGAGAGAGAGAGAGAGAGAGAGAGAGAGAGAGAGAGAGAGAGAGAGAGAGAGAGAGAGAGAAGAGAGAGAGAGAATGTTTTACGGAGCGGGTTGTCCCAGCACTTGAGACATGTATTTACTTGGCCTTATGTCCTGTCATGTTGTGCGTTTGCGTGAGTGCACCTTTAGGTCTAACTTTTGTAACATCTACTGCCATTGTTAACGACCAAGACAAATTTCTCCCTGCGAGATGAATAAAGATTGTCATTGTCATTGTCATTACTCACTCTGTAGATCAGGGACGAAGGAGTTGCTAAATTTTTTTTTGTGACAAAGAATGTAAACCATTACTTTTTCTTCTATGCTGTTGCATTTTATCTAACAGAACATTATTTCTTTAATCGGGTAAAATTCTTTTATTCCAATTTCATTTTCAATTCTTTGTTCGGTTCAACTGCTAGGCAGACCCTTCATTGCAGAGTAGGACTATTGTCTGTAATTATGTAGCAGTGGTTTGTGTCTTAGTGAGGCCTGCCACAGCTACATTTTTTATCCTTTTGTGAAGTAGGATTTTAAAAACTTTTGGTTGTACCCTGGGTTTTTTTCTATTCATGTCAGGAAGGTAAGCAGTTTCAGTCGTTTTGTGGTCCCTTCCAAAATTGAAAATTTATGCATTTAAGGATGTGCATTGTACAGGAGTTTAGTTTTAGTAAGAGTTTTACAGCTCTCGCAACACAATAAGTTCATATAAGTGCCGAAGATTAGAGGTGTTACAAGAGAGTAACAAACATAAAAAAAAGAAGAAGGGGAGATAGAGACGATAGTTTTTTTCCAGGAAAGAAGGAGCAAACCACACCAGAGCACCCGCCAACCACCCACATTGTACAGGAGGGTTGCGCCTGGGCTCCCAGTGTTTGACAGTTACAACTAGTAACTGACTGCTTTGTATGTGGGTGAAAACTAATGGGTTTAATCAGCTATTAGATTGATATCAACAGACCACACACAATACGTGAAGCGTGCTGACAAAATGAGTTACTTCTCTGATTCATGCCTGATGGAAATAGATACGCCATGGTCACCGGTGAACTTTCTACAATTTATAAGTATGAAATAATAAAAGGCATGTTATAGTTAAAGAATATAGCATCAATAGAAATTCAACAAATTTGACACACTTACTATAGGTGAAGTTTTTACAGTTTAGAAGTGAGAAGTAATAAAAAGCATGTTATACTTAAGAATATGGCATCAATAGAAATTCAACAAATTTGACACTAGTGTCAATTTTTGGCCAATATCTCCATTTGCGGATTGCGAGATATAACTCATTTTGTCAGCACGCCTCACACATGCTGTGGACTAGTTGACCCTTGTCTCTCTTTGTTTTCTCTCCAAGATGCACAGCGTACAGCTCCCTGCCACCTGAGTGTGTGATGGTTCCCGACCCGGCTGACCCCTCATGCTGTAACGTTCCCAGCTGCCCGCTGGTCCCTAAGGGTCAGGTCCCGACACCTGGGCCAATCATTCCTCCACAAGTTCCAGGAAAAGTTGTGGGCATAGGCAAGGTGGGTCTGAAGTTTTTTTTAACTGATTTTTCAAGCTTTACATAATAAAATATTCACTGTTTAAAAAAAAAATTATTTTAAAAATACTGTTATTATTGTTGAAATTTTCTGTTAGCTGCAATAATCATCATTACTACTTAACCCTATCTGTATGCCCTGGGGTCATTTTGTACCCCCGGGGTTGTATTCTTCACTTTTTAGAATACTTTTAGTATGAAAATCTCTTTGAAACTTTCAGCATTTCTGAAAAAAATTATTTTGACAGACTTCTATGCAAAGCGTACGGATGGAGGCTCTCGTGGCCTAGAGGTTAAGGTGTTGGCCTCTCATTCAAAGGTCCCGGGTTCGAATCCGGGTAGCGACCGAAAAATTTTCGTCTCTAAAATTGTCTCCTTTCACCTCTTTTCCTGCTCTCTAGCAATATTCTGTTGTCAGCTTTCGTCTCCTCTTTCTGCCCCCACCCCCTCACCTCCTTTGCCCCCTCCTCTGGGCTCCTGATTCTTTCTGCAGCCTTTCTACTGCTACTCATTGACTCCTTCTTACAGCTGTCTTTCTGCCACACCCCTGATCTTCTGGTAGGAAAGATCTACACCTAGCCTTCTCGCACAAGGGCGAAAAATCTCGGAGGGCCCGTGTGCAAGATGCGCACGTTAAAGATCCCTTGGTGGTCTAAAATCGATAAGAGTAGGCTTCGGCCGCCACCAAGGCAAAATTAAAAATTTCCTACCAACTAAAAGTATTAGGTGTGTCCCGCACGCTCATATGACCTTATGCAGTTGCGAGCGCCGTAAAACACTTACCAAAAAAACAAAAACAAAAAAAAGCGTACGGATCAGATGTAAGAGTAAATTTCCTCTTTGATGGCACAGAGTTCCCCACGTCATATGAATACAATAGTAAAACACGACATACGGATAGGGTTAAGTGGTGGCACAGAGTTCCCCACACCGTATGGATACGATAGAAAAACACGAAGTACGGGTATGGTTAACCTAATGGACCCAAGCAAACTGCCTAATCATTTGTCCTCAATTTATTTACTTATGTCTTCAGGTTCCGACACCCGCCCCTCAAGTGACTCCCGTTGGTTTCACAGGCACCACACAGTTGCCACCCACTGCAGCCCTAGGTACTGGAAGGAATCAAAGATCGTGCATAACAAGATAGTTCACTTCTCTCTTTGAGCCAATTAAAAAAGTGTCCTTAAAATTCGGCGACCCCTACTTGTGTTTTAAACAATAAAAGTGAAACTAACAAACTGCGCTATTCCTATTCTTCTTCTGGAAAAACGAAAGAAAGCTTCAAAACAAAGACTGCAGCGCCATCTGAACCAATGCATGGACTTCCGCAGAAACTTTTTTGGTTCAGTGAACTGTCCTGTTATGTACGATCTTTGATGTAATACATCGTTGAGTTCATAGAGCCTACTTTCTAGTTGAGACTTTCTCTGGATTTGTGCTGTCTCTTCTTCTTCTTCTTCTTCTTCTTCTTCTTCTTCTTCTTCTTCTTCTTCTTCCTCTTCCTCTTCCTCTTCCTCTTCCTCTTCTTCTTCTTCTTCTTCTTCTTCCTCTTCCTCTTCCTCTTCTTCTTCTTCTTCTTCTTCTTCTTCTTCTTCTTCTTCTTCTCCCTCTTCCTCTTCTCCCTCTCTTCCTCCTCCTCCTCCTCTTCCTCTTCTTTTTCTTTATCGTCCTTTTTCCCCCCATACTTCTTGGACCAAAGCTGCCTTGATGCTGTAGGCCCTACTATTTTTTTTTTACTGAAGAATGTGCTCTCCATTGTTAGCCCTTCAAAAGAACCGTTCTCATGTTGTATTCTCAGGCTGTCTCTACAAGGGAGTGGTCTACAAGCAGAATGACCAATGGTCTGATGGCTGTGAGTGGGACTGTGTTTGCGAGGACGACATCACTGGCCAGTATAAGTGTACTGAAAAGTAAGTACAAAAGTGAGACGTGCTGACAAAATGAAATACTTCTCGCAATCTACAAATGGAGATATTGGCCAAAAATCTACACTAGGGTCAAATTTGTAGATTTTCTATTGATGCCATATTCTTAAGTATAACATGCTTTTTATTATTTCTTATTTCTAAACTTGTAAAAACTTCACCTATAATAAGCGTGATGTATCTATTTCAATAAGGCTTGAATCTGAGAAGCAACTCATTTTGTCAGCAGTTGGGCAGATGGAGTTGATGGTATCATCTTAAGGCCTGTCCATTTTCCTTGTTTTGGGTGAAAATATCTTTCTATGTTGAATAGAAGTCGAGATATGTGTGATTGAAGGAGGTGAAGGTCATCAGGTTTCAGAAGTAAAATTGCAAGCTAATGGCCGCCAAAGTTGAGTTACTTCTTTAGTTTGATAGTCTGAAAATTTACATTTCTCCTGCCTTTAATCAACGGTTTTCAGTAAAATCCATCAGAAATGTGCTCTCTTAAAAGGCGTGAAAGGAGTTGAACCAAAAAACGAATATCCAATAAAAATTCTCAAACTTGCGGGAAAATGCCACTTTCTTGACTTTCATTATTTTGACGAGCACCTGATTTCATCACATTGCCTCACAAATGTTGGTAAAAAACAGTATAGCTCGCCACATCTGTGCTCGTCATAGCAATCACTGTGTGACCTTTTCCGTGATCATGGATTTGAGTTCAAGTTCAAAATGGGAGGCTGCACTTTATTTTAATAGAAAACTTTGGAAGTATTCATCATCATCATCACCATTGCCTTTCTCACCCTGGATCAGGATATAGGCCTCAAACAAACACTTTCCATCTTTCCCTATCCTGGGCTAGTCGCTTGATGTCACTCCATGTCTTCCCACTTTTGGATGTATTCATTAACTACTAATCTTCATATATCAAAGTGGACATGTCAGGATTACATGAGGTTATGAGCAAGTGCTGTTGAATGAGATTAGAGGAAAGTCATCTGTGATGCCCCAATAGCAGCTGATAAGACTACAGAATTAATGATGAGAATATAATGAGATTTCATATTTGGGCAAATATTCAGTGTCCTATTGTGTGACCACATTGAATTGTAAAGATGTCAAAGGTCAGATGACTGTCTATGAGACAATTAATTATCCCCAAGTTATACATATGTAATAAACGTTTTAAAATGTAAAATTGATGACTTGAGCAGTCAATCTTTGTCAGCTTTGCTCAGTTGTACATTTTCAAAATAGGTGATGTAAAAGGAAATGTCTGCCTTTTTATTTCTTTCCTTAGAGTGGTTATTTTGTGTGGGCATATCCCACTATTTTAACATCATACCAAATTTTATTAATACAGTCTTCACAAAAAGTTAAGGACCACTTGCAAAAGTGCAAGCAAAATAAAAACCAGCTAAGCAAATTACTCCTTCTTTGTCATACATTGAATTCATCAATCCATAAGTGCGACAAAGAAATTTCATCACAATCGAAACCGAAATGCTTAATTCCCAGCGCTCAAAAAGGACCCACCCTCAAAATCGAAAATCACAAAAGAAAGGGTCTAAACAAATCTCAGCAATGTCAAAGAAAACAAACAGTTTAAGTTTGTGAATGTCAAATGGAATTGTCAGAGGCGCGTGTGCCCATCATTCATGGCATGTGATGTCACGGGTTGTCCTCAGATGTCCTCGGAAGTATGCTCTGCCCAGCCAGTGTGTCCTGCTGAAGGATCCGGCCAACCCATGCTGTGAGCTGCCCTATTGTGACTTTGTGAACCCCACGCCGTTCCCCAATGGAATTCCCACCGCTGTGCCAGGCCAGGCTCCTATCAACATCACTGGGGTCACCACTGGGTACAGCGATGTCAGAGGTCAGGGGTCAATGTTTTATCATTCTTTTATATCATGTAAATTGGTTGTGGTTGTCTTGTGTGTATAATGTGTTATGTGTTTTAACATATCCATAATTCACTTGTTACTTTTGAGCCTTTTTTGAGCTTTCAAAAGCTCTTTTTATGTTGGAGAGCTTTCCTTAAGTCAGACTAATGAATCAGTCTTTCAAATAGATTAAACACAATTAAAGACAAAATCATAAGTTGCTTGAGGCCATTTTCCCTGTTGAAATGTTATATAACTGTGTTAAGAGTAGTACTTTTTGGTACTTGAGAAAACTATTTTCCTTGCTGACATGGTTTTCTTGGAATACTGATGACAGCGGAGTAGTCTGTTGTTAAATCCACAACTATCTCCTTTAGCCTTATTTTTAACGGCAATCATATAATTAATATTTCCTTCTTCATGAAAATATTCATCTACATTAAATATTAACAACCTAATTCACAATCGGGTTTCCTGCCTTCTACTATTGGGTCTGCCTATTTGCCCTGTTCAGCACCTTTTCGGGATTCTCCAATACAATGAAGTCAGTGGGTGGTGGTGGTGGGGGGGGGGGGGGGTGCTCTAGTGTGGTCTGCTTCTTTTTTCCTATCAAATGTCTATCAACTTTATCTCTCTTCCTTCTTTTTTGTGTTTATCATTCTCTTGCAACATCTCTAATCTTTGGCACTTATGTGACCTTATTGTTTTGCAAGAGCCGTAAAACTCTTATTAAAACAGAAACAATAAAACCAGCGTTCTCTTCATTTTGCTCATAAACACATTCCCTATATCAAAACTTTTTTCTCTTTAACATAAGGCAGATGTCGTACATACCTCAGCTTATTTGGTCGCTTTTAAGCACAAGGGGGCTATCCCAAAAAATGCTGTTTTGAGAGAATTGAAGGTAAAGTTTTTGCACCCTGTTCAGTTTCTTTAAAAGACAAGAAGAGTTTTCTCCAAACAAGTATACACACCAGTGAAACCAAACTTCTCATATAGGTAGGACAATGTCCACTTTTAGTGTAGGTCAAGATTTTTGGAAACCCCCAAAATCTGAGTTAGCCCACTTGTCCTTAACACTTTATTGCCATCATATTTTGGGGAAAATCCAAAGAAACTGGGTGGTAAACATCGCCAATCGGCGAGATGAGGCGGCAAAGTATTAAAAGTGACCATTTGGCACCTGCCACATTTCCTCAGACGTCTGTGTGTACAAGGGATCTTTCTACCAGCAAGATGAGACCTGGAATGATGGGTGCAGCCTCTCTTGTGAATGTGTCAACGCCAACACTGGACTCTACGAATGTGTTGACAGGTAACTTCTTGGAGGAAAAAGTAGTATGTGAAGATCTTCCAGCTTTATATTCAGTGCAGCGTTCTTGTTTGCTTTTACTTCTTTAATAATAATAATAATAATAGATAGCATTTGTATAGCGCATATCCCCACTCAGCAGCAGGCTCTATGCGCTTTACACTATATTATTACCCCAGCAGACCATAGAACACTCCGAAACATTCTCAGCTTCCTGGGAAGCATACAGTGCGAGCAGCCGATTAAGCGCTCAAACACTAACAAACTGACAAGATCTTTCGCTGTCTGTAGCCGGGTACCCATTCCCACCTGGGTGAAGTGAGGAAAATTCGTGTAAAGTGCCTTTCCCAAGGACACAACGTCGGACACTTGACGGGATTCGAACCCACGACCTTACGGTTGCGAGTCCGAGAGCCTAACCGCTAGGCCACCGACACCACTTTACAGAACATTCACTCTTTGCACATCTTGGAGATTTGTTTTTAAGCTCCCCGACCTCTTCCCTGTTACCACCAATGCAAACACACATAAATTGTTGGGTACTTACTTTACTTTTTCTACTTTTTTTACTTTTTCATCCTCTGTTGCTGTTAAGCGTCGAGGGGAGATGCAGTTTTCTATGGTAGGCCAGCTCCGCAGCTCTTTCAGTTGTGATGTTATGTTTTCTTAGGATTTCCTTGACACCCTCGATCCACCTTTTGTGTGGCCTTCCTCTTCCTTTATAGCCTTAGTGCTTGGTGTTGTAGGCTCTCGAGGCTGGCTGGTCAGGTGACATGTGTAACAGGTGGCCAAACCATTTTATCCTCTTGTCTTTCTATGTAATGCAGGCAGGACTCAGTGCCGATAGCTGCTCTTATTTCTTCATTTCTCTGCCTGAATCGTCATGTGATGTTTAAGGTTTTTTGGATATTTTGTTTAAAATTGACAATTTGGGGTCAAATTATGGTATCTGGGCTTTTTTAACATATTCTGAAACTTCAACCACTTCTGAGCCTAAAAACAGGTACAGGAGAATTTGGAGAATGTTTATTTATTTTTTAGAATTATTTTAACCAACAAGGGTAGTTCTATTTATGTCAGTTATTTAACAAAATGTGTCAAAACTTCATTGTTTAATAGCTTTTTCGGATCAACTCTTTTATTTTCTGATTCCAGTAATATTTTCAGGTTTCATTGTTCACATAATAAGCTAACTTTGTAGACTGACAGATGTATAGATATATTTATAAGTGAGTTACAAGTGGTAGGTATAAGTTGTCCATCTATAACTTATTTTCTATTCAAGATATTCAAAATCTATGCAGTGAAGTTTTGTAATGAGTATATGTGAGGCAGCATGGTGAAATCAGGTGCCCGTCAAAATAATGAAATCAAAGAAATTGGCATTTTTCTGGCCGTTGGGCAATTTTTTTACAATTTTCTTTTTTTCGCTCAACACCTTTTATATCCATTTAAAAACACATTTCTGTGTGGATTTTTCTGGAAAACATTGATCAAAGACACAAAAAATATTCAGTTTCCAAGACTCTCAAGTTATGTCAATTACCAAACTTTGGTGGCCGTTTTCTCGCTAATTTTACCTCTGAAACAAGGCGACCCTCACATCTTTAAATTGCAAATATTTTGACATCTGTTCAACAAAGATGGATATTTTTTTCACCAAAAGCAAGGCAAATGAACAGGCCTTAAGATGATATACCAATAACCCTGTATGCCCAAAAATTGACAAGTGCATTATTCCACTGCGTCATGACAAATTGATATACCAAAGTTGAATTCAATTCGTAGCAATTTTTTTTTTTGAAGTGCTGTTAGGTTTATGATTTTTTTTCTAAAACGAAATGTTGGGTTTGAGATATATTTTCCTGATATACCTCCATGTAAAAAAGATTAACCTGAGGGTTCATGGTTATCAAGATAGGTCTTAAAAGTAGCACCTTTCCTTAAGGACAGCATGGGACTGCTTCACTTGATTTCCTGATCAAATCTAGGGTTAATCACAGACTGCTGTGGATTGATTTCACACACTAACCTTTTTGTGTTGTCAGATGCCCAACTTACATCAATGTATCCAAGGAGTGTGTGATGGTGACAGACCCTAAGGATTCTTGCTGCCAGGAGCCTAAGTGTCCCGTGAGTTTTTAGCCTTTCTTTAGTAGTTAAGTGGTTAACATGTCGAGCTTGTAAACGTATGATCATGGGTTTGATTTATGAATGGGGTTTGAACGTTGAGTCTTTTTAAAAGTTTCTTTCCCTCTAACTTTTTAGCTCCTTGCTGCGAGAGAGAACCTTTCACAAGAATTGGAAGGGATATGAAGCGTCTAAACAAACAGTGTCAGGTTACCAACATTCTCAATTTGTGAAGATTGGGATTTCAATAATATAAATCAGATCTGTACATCTGCTTTGTTTTGAAGCTTATGAAATCAGGCTCCCGATCCATTAATGCATTGTAAGGTCTTGCTTGATAATAAAGAAATTGGTAATAATAAATGACCCCCAAAAAACTGCTTTCAGCAGGCATGAGGTTTTTACATTGAATAATACTGGTTTCTTTTTGTAAAGGTTATAGGACACAAAGTTTAACACTTTTGTATGATTTATAAGATAGAAATAATAAATAGACACGCAGAAAATAGCATTAATGGAAAATCTACAAATTTGACCTGAGGGTCGATTTTCAGCAGATGTTTTTATTCCTGCATTGTGAGAAGTAACTCATTTTGTCAGCATGCCCCACTTGTAGTGTTTTCCGTCATCATGATAAGATTTTCACTTGGTTCTTTTTTCCAGGATCCAACACCAAACCCGAACCCTGGCCCTCATAAGATTTTCACGTATTAGTTCTTTTTTACAGGTTCCCACACCAAACCCAAACCCTGGCCCTGTGCCCACAGCCTCCAACGGCAGCACCCTGGTGCCTCCCACACGCCCCAACGTCTACGTCGTGCAGCCGCAGCCTCCCAGGACGTTCACCGGACAAGGGGGTTCCCCACAGGTCCAGCTGGGTGGCAACAGCCCGTCACTCAGTGGATACACCGGTGGGTTCTCTGATACTCTACATGTATATGGTCGCTTTTAAGGACAAGCGGGCTAAGCCAGGTTTTGGGAGTGTCCAGAAATCTTGACCTACACCAAAAGTGGGCCTTGCCCTACCTATAGGAGAAGTTTGGTTTCATTGGTGTGTATATTTGTTTGGTTACAGAGAAAACTCTCCTTGTTTTTTAAAGAAACTGAACCAGCGGCAAAAACTTTACCTTCAATTTTCTCAAAACAGCGTTTTGCGGGATAGCCCACTAATGCTTGAAAGCGACCATATGCAGTGTTATTGATCCTCAACGGATACTTTGTTTTTCTGTAACATGAGTACAATCGCTTGTAACATAATTAATTTCAAATTGTGCCATGTCTTTAGTCACTGCATGCTTTGCTGTGCCCTACTTTTGAGCCCACTTGTACCAACTCTTTTCACTCGTTGGATACACAATTGTTGTATTATAATCCCTATCTATTTTTCTACAGTCTACTTGAAGCAAAATATTCATGTCTTCGTCTGCACAGTAGGTGGTTAGGGGTGATGTGGTTTTCTCCTCTTCTTTTCTATCAGAAATCTGTGGTCCTTATCTCTGCTCCTTCTTTTCTTTGTATGTTACTCTCTAGAAACACCTTTAATCTTCAGCACTCATACGGCGTATTTGCTTTGCAAGTGCCATAAGACTCTTTTTAAAGCTGAACTTCTTCCTCAGATTCCTGTTTGTACAAGGGAACCTTCTATAAACAAGGTGATACTTTTGAGGACGGCTGTCAGTACAGGTGCTCTTGTGTGGATGCTCTCAGAGGCCGCTACAGATGTGTCGAGAGGTGGGGATTACTCATTCATAAATTGCTGACAAAATTATGCGTTTCTTTTATTCACAGCATTTTAGAGAAACAGGTTTTTTGTCAGCGTAACTATTTGGTCGCCCTAAGCACAAGAGGGCTATCCCTAAAAATGCTGTTTTGAGAAAACGAAGGAAAAATTTTTTCAGTTTCTTTAAAGACAAGGAGAGCTTTCTCTGTAACCAAACAAAAATACACACAAATGAAACCAAACTTCTCCTATAGGTAGGGCAAAGCCCACTTTTGGTATAGGACAAGATTTCTGGAAACCCTCGAAATCTGGGTTAGCCCTCTTGTCCTTAAAAACGACCAATTTAAAAAACGCTTTCACTTTGATTTTTTCACTCAAGTAGGATAACTGATCAAACTTCCGATCAAGCAAATACAAAATTTTGTTGCCAATATGAAAAAAAGGCGTTTTGTCAGCTTACGGCAGTACTGGCTTTCCTTCTCTGTGCTACAATTCAGTAGGTTATCTGTGGGGAATGAGTTCAGTGAGATGGAGGAAAAGACAACTTGTTGGTAGAGGACTCCAAATGGGTGTCTCAGCCACTGATGTGGCATCTAGTTTCTTTATTTAAAGAAAATTGGGTCAGTGCATTTTGCAAAGAGAATTATCAAGATCGGTTCATTAGTTTTGATTTTATGACCAATTTAGTGACATGTATGTCACTTTCAGATTTTCTACCAAAAGAGGGCTCCGGTGCAGGGGGTTTACCCCCAACAGAGATAAAGAGTTAAGGCCATTATAACTTTAACATATTTTTTTTTCATTTGTAGTTGTTTTATTCCCCAATCTTTACTTCGTTTATATTTTTCTTTTTTGAAGGGTTTAAGTTTTGCACAGTTATTTTGCAATAGTAATGAAAACATTTTATTTTATTTTACTCTATGTAAGTTCCTCTTTACAAAATAAGTTTCCACGGAAGTGCCAATTTGATGGATAAATCCAACAGTCCAAATTGCTGAAATTGTCTTGCATTTTGCATAATGACTTAGGGCTAATAATCATATGTTATACTCATCTTATCAAATTCTAAATAAAAATAGTCTTGATTCAAGATGTAGTAGATGATATAATCCATAAATTTTGACTCCCTGTGTGCACATTTCCATAGGGTTCATGGGATTTTTTTTCCTTGTTTGTCAGTTGGCATCTTGGGTTTCCAACATTTTTTGACTAATTAGAAATAATCATGGAGAGGTTGAGATAATTTCCAGATGATGTTCTTGGTTACAGATGTCCCAGATATGACACCTTGCCGTCATTCTGCACAATGGAGACTGACCCGAATGACAGCTGCTGTGTTATTCCAAGGTACTGAGCTTTATTCAGCAATAATAATAATAATAATACAGAAATGGATGTACAGAAAAGTGGGAAGACGTGGAGTGACATCAAGCGACTAGCCCAGGATAGGGAAAGGTGGAAAGTGTTTGTTCGTGGCCTATATCCTGATCCAGGGTGAGAGAGGCAATGATGATAATGAATGATAATAATAATGATTATAATAATGGATTGCATTTATATAGCACTTATGCAATGCTCTATGTGCTTAACATGAAACATATTATGGAATTACAAATCAATTTTATAGGCACATAGTATTCCATACGCGTGCACACATATACTCATGCGCGCATGCACCCACACAGGCATACATACACATATGCACACATACATACATACGAAAATACAAATTCACGATGATCTACAGCTTGGATGGATTCTGTCTAATAGAGATGAAAATAGAACTGCTTTTAGTTTTTTCTTTAAAATTTCTAGATTTTCTGCTTCTCTGATAGTTTTGGGAAGCCTAAATGTTACGCTAGACTTTGAACACGTGAACAGTTTTTTTTTCTTCTTAACTTTGATGCACTTCAGATTTCCATCGGAAGTAACCCGCTCAAAATGCCACGGTCGATCAGTTGTAGACATGGTGGTTAGGCGAGGGGATATCAGCTGAGATAATAGAGATTTATACCTGCTACTGAAAAATGAGCATTTATGGCTCAACACAGATGATAAACAGCATATTAAACCATATGTTTTTTTCACAGCTGATAGAATGAGCAATTCAAAAATGATAAGCTATAAAAGAAATACAAAGGGCAAAACGCAATGAATTCAACAATTAGTACATTAGCACAACGGAACAAGTGATGACACATCGCGTGTTGTCGCTCAGCTTGACAGCACCACTTTATCAATCAATATCTGGGCCAAGAGGCGCTCTACTAGGTCAAGATAACTTGCAAAGTCATTGGTCACTATTTATAACTTTGACCTGTAATTTACTTCATCATTTTCCAAGGAATGCTGAACTAAAAAAGGTCAGCGTCTATGCCCTTTATATACGGCCTGCGCACTTCCCGATCGAAGTAGGTTGACCAAATAGATACGGCCTGCATGCTTCCAGGGTCGCTCGGCTCACACCCAATATATAGGGCCTGCGCGCTTCCAGTGTTAAAACTGATCTTACGGATAGAGAAATTAAAGCAAAAACGGCAAAAGCAAGGGTGAAGCTCTTGCAGCAGAAGAAAAGGTCTTTAGTATGAGGTAGAAGAATTACACCATTTGAATATAAAATGTACTGAAACTTATTTCAGGAAGAATGTTAACTGTTTCAGTGTGCACTTCAAAAGTATTTGTATTTTTTAAAATGTTGTTCTTGACGTTATTTCCAATGATAATGCTCTTAGTTACATTTTGTGTTTGATTAGAATTGGTTCTTTCACTTGATTCTAGATGTTAAATATATAGAGATTGATTTATGGAAGAAATGCTTTGATTCCAGGCCAAAAGGTTATCTAGGCAATCTATTATGCAACAAAGCTCCTTTCCTTCAATACAGATCTGTATTACCTTTGTCTTGATACAGATGTATGTGATTCTTCTCGCTGTACAGGTGTGTGCCACCCAGTCCTACTCCTACTACACCTACAACTACCACAACTACAACAATGACACCAGCCCCAGTCACCTTAGCCCCTGCCACAACTTTTGCACCACCGACGGCTACAACCACCGTCCCAACAACCACCACCACAGTTTCAACCACTACCCCACCCCCAAGTCAGTACCACATTTGTATAGGTTTGATGCCCCTTTCAACACTTTAGGGTTATTTAACCCTATCTGTACGTTGTGTTTTACTATTGTATCCATACGCCGTGGGGAACTCTGTGCCCCCACTTTCTAAAGAGGAAATTTACTCTTAATCTGATCCGTATGCTTTGCATAGCAACAATCTGTCAAAATGATTTTTATGAGAAATACTGAAAGTTTCAAAGAGATCTTCGTACTAGAAGTATTCTAAAATGTGAAGAATACAACCCCGGGGGTACAAAATTACTCCAGGGCGTACGGATAGGTTAAGTCAGAACTTCAAAATTTGATGTTCACCCCTGACTGGACAAGCCAAGTAGGTGGAGATTCCTCTCAAAAAAGCCCGTTGGTGATTTGAATCAAAGTCATCCTCACTTTGCCCAATGTGATGCCAACTGAGCTAATAGCACACTTCATCACCCTGGTCTATGCTAGAACTTTCCCAAAGAGTTGAGAAGAAGGTAGTTGTTTAGGCCTATCTTTATAACTTCTCCTGCGTGTGATTGCAGTCATCAGAGGCCCAATAATGTGTGTTTGGGAAGAGCACTTTACACAAATTTTCTTCTCTTCACCCAGATGGGAATGGGTACCCGACTATAGAAAAGAGAAAGATCTTGTCAGTTTGTTAGTTTTTGAGTGATTAATCAGCTGCTTTAACTGTATGCTTCCCGGGAAGCTGAGAATGTTCCTGAGTGTTCTCGGCAATCTCGGGTCAGCTGGGGTAATCTGCTGAGGGGTTATATACGCTATGCAAATGCTATTTGTTAACTATTATTATCATAATTGCACCAATACAACCATCTCCCATTCCCATCAATGCTCTGCTGCCAGCAGACTTTGCTTTTGACTTGCTAAAATCTTGCTGGAAAAAGCCCAGTTAGTGGGTGAGGGCAGGGGAGGGAAGCACATTCAGCCAAGAACCAGATGTCTAGACGCGCTGCGGGTGGGAAAAGTGTTCGCCTATTGTAAATTAACTCTTTAACCATGCAATTTAAAATCACATTTCCACGTAATTCTCTCGTCTTTGTGTGGAAATGCGGCCCGACATATTACATTTTTAAAACCGCTTGTTTCGTGTCAAACTGATCAATAAAGCAATACCCAGACGTAGAATTCATTTAGCTTAAATACCTTCGCATCTAACGCTGGTACCGTTCAGCCATGGTTATGGACCTCCACTACCGGACGCTGCCACCGTTCAGACATGGTTAAAGAGTTACAGGGATGCCACTTTTCTGCTTCTTTCCGGTGTTTCCGGTATTTTGATCCTGATCCGCTATTCTGTTATTGAGATCGAGATAGAATCTATAGTTGGAAAAAAAAAACCCAAAAAAACCCCCACACATGCAACAACTTGCACCAAATGTTCAAATAACGAAAAAATGAAGATTTCGCCATAAGTTCAAATAACATGGAGAGAAAAAACACGGAACATTTGCGCTAATCTCAGCATCTTTTGGGTTTCAAATTGATTTCATATTTTAGCGAGACCATTGCACGTGGATTTTCAGCTATTTATAAAAAAGTTAAGTGGCATCCCTGGAGTTAACACTGACCAACACCTTCCAAGATAGTGTGGGTGTTTTATGAGGAGCAAGTTATTCATAATACGTCAATCTTAGTGAATTTTAGTTTCTAAAAGAACATTTCAAACCTGTCTTGCCGAGCCATGTATTGGATTAAAAACAAAGAATGTGACAATTTTGCCTCTTAAACACTTTGCAGTCACACAGCCAGCAGTACAAACTACCCCATCTGGTCACCCAGCCAGGAGAGCGACTGCAAGGCACTTCTTGGGCCTGGCACAGTAGTGCGCCAGGTGATAGGAATGGATAATTTTCACCTGCACATTATTGCGCCAAGTGACTGCAAAGTGTTAACATTTTGTAAAGTATTTCAGTTTTGGTTTTAGTTTAATTTTTACTATAGCAAACCCATTTCCTGCTTGCAAATTTTATAAAATATCTGCCCTTATTATGGAATCTGTAGGCTTATTTAAAAAATAATAGAATTGCGATGCTGTATTGTCCCATGCTAAATTAATGCTTTTATGTGGAAGTTTCCGTTACCTTTTTTTAACTGGTTTTTACTCCATCTTGACATTTTTATGTCGATTTTATCCTGTATTATATTATTTCTTTTGTAAGGGAGAAGGTATGGTGGTTATACCCAAATGTATTTTCCCAACAGATGTTTGCGTTTATGACGGCAAGTTCTACAATGCCAGAGACGCTTGGACTGATGCCAAAGACTGCTCCATGAGATGTACATGTCTCTCCATCACCAACGTTTATTCTTGTCACAATATGTAAGTCGAGATTTGGTCCCTTTTAAGCGCAAGGGGGCTATCCCTAAAAATGCTGTTTTGAGAAAATCGCAGGTAAAGTTTTTGCTCCTTGTTCAGCTAATTAAAAAACGAGGAGAGTTTTCACTATAGCCTGACAAATATACACTCCAATGAAATCAGAACTTCTCCTACAGGTAGGGCAATGCCCACTTTAGGCGTAGGTGAAGATTTCTGGAAACCCCCAAAATCTGGGTTAGCTTGCGTGTACTTTAAAGTGACCATTTATTGCTGAAGATGTTTTCAGTTTTTATGGTAGCTACTGAAAGAAAAATCTTTGTCTTTGCCTTTCTCCCCCTGGATCAGCTTATAGGCCACGAACAAACACTTTCCACCTTTCCCTGTCATGGGCTAACCTCTTGGTTTTATCCCATGTCTTTCTATCTTTCTATACATCGATGGAGGGAGTTTCGGGTCAGTAGAGTCCTTTTGGCTTTGTCCACTATCCTCAATAAGTTCTACTAGTGAAGAAGCTTGTATGTCACCTAAGATGGAAAAATTAGATCTGTTTGCTTGTGTTTCTATAACTTTTCTAGTTTTTACAGGGTGTGGTAGTTGGCCCTAGCTCCCCTAAATGACTCTTTTCAGGAGACTAGACATATGTACCTTTAGTTGCCTCTTAGAATGCACAGTATCATAGTGTCATTTCTTACTCACAGTATCATAGTGTCATTTCTTACTCACAGTATCATAGTGTTATTTCTTACTCACAGTATCATAGTGTCATTTCTTACTCACAGTATCATAGTGTTATTTCTTACTCACAGTATCATAGTGTCATTTCTTACTCACAGTATCATAGTGTCATTTCTTACTCACAGTATCATAGTGTTATTTCTTACTCACAGTATCATAGTGTTATTTCTTACTCACAGTATCATAGTGTTATTTCTTACTCACAGTATCATAGTGTTATTTCTTACTCACAGTATCATAGTGTCATTTTTTACTCACAGTATCATAGTGTCATGGTGTTATTTCTTACTCACAGTATCATAGTGTTATTTCTTACTCACAGTATCATAGTGTTATTTCTTACTCACAGTATCATAGTGTTATTTCTTACTCACAGTATCATGGTGTTATTTCTTACTCACAGTATCATAGTGTTATGTCTTACTCACAGTATCATAGTGTTATGTCTTACTCCCCTATAATAAAACTTGCTTTAACATCTGCCTCAGTTCCACCTTTACCATCGATGACACTTCCAAAGTAGGTAAAGGAGTCCACTTCTTCCAGGGGAGTGTCTTCCACTGTCACAGCAGGGCTTGAAACTTTTCCTAGCTTCACTACTTTCGACTTGCCCGGGTGTATACGTAGGCCAACACTCCTTGATAGGCTGTTGAGTTCTTTGGTCTTTTCTTGCATCTGAGCATGTGTGTGAGAGAGCAGTGCAAGGTCAGTGGCGAAGTCCAAGTCTTCCAGCTGCTGCCAAGTGATCCACTGTATTCCATTACGCTTGCCTCTGGTGGCTTCTTTCATGACCCAGTCAACTGCCAGTATGGTCTCTTAGGTGACTAGAGTTAACTTCAGTGCAACTTATTTACCGAAACAGAACTCTTACCTCAGCCGTTTCAGCTACATTACCAGCTTTGTTGGAAAACGTAAGAACGGAAGACCAAAGATGACATGGAGGTGAGCGGTACAAGCGGAAACTGAAAAAGCGGGGACATCATGGAAACAGCTAGAAAAGGATGCTCAGGACAGGCTTCATGGGCTTTGCTCCACTGGGAGTTAAAAAGGGCAAGAGAGAGAGACCACCTTCGTTAATCCTATATTGTTTTGTTTTTCTTTCCCCCAGCTGCCCAGTTTATGCTGAGCTACCGTCGTACTGTAAGCTGATCTTGCCTCAAGGCTCTAACTGTTGCAAAGAGCCTGTTTGTACCGTCAATGGGAAGAACGTGACTGGTGAAGTCCCGATCGGAACAGTTCAGACCAAAGGTGGCTCCAGCGCTAAGAGAGATGTCAATCCAACGACAGGCAAAGGTGGGTCTTTTTCTTTCTCTTTCATTGAGTTAAAGAAGAAAGGAATCTTGGTAATGTAAAAAAAAATGGAAATGGGAGTTTATTACATGTAATAACAAATATTAATAATAATAATAATAATAATGATAATAATAATAATATAATGATATTAATAATAATAATAATAATAATAATGATAATAACAATAATAATACTGATAAAATAATAATCATAATCATAATCATAACAATCATAATCACAATCATAATAACATTCACAATAATCATCATAATGATAATAACAGAATGCATCAATGTTGTATATATCCTGACGCAAAAGTAGGCTCAATGAGCAATACAAGTATTGTCATCCTTGCAGATCATGATATAACATTCCAAAATATTGTAAGCTTCCTGGAAAGTTATAGCAAACTGGCAAATGGGAATTATGGTACAACTTTACTGGAATTTTTTTTGCCGGCTGAGTAGTTGGAAATATTCACAAGAGCTTGCTGTCTAGGAAGATGCTTTCCCACTAGGTGAAAATTTTAAATTCTTGGACCTCAGCACCTTAACCCTATCAGTACGTGGTGTTTTACTATCGTATCCATATGATGTGGGAAACTCTGTGCCACCACTTAACCCTATCCGTACGTGGTGTTTTACTATCGTATCCATACGACGTGGGGAACTCTGTGCCACCACTTAACCCTGCCCGTACGTGGTGTTTTACTATCATATCCATACGACGTGGGGAACTCTGTACCACCACTTTCCAAAGAGAAAATTTACTCATTAATCCGATCTGTACGCTTTGCATAGCAGTCTGCCAAAATGATTTTTTTAGAAATACAGAAAGTTTCAAAGAGATTTTTGTACTAGAAGTATTCAAAAATTAAAGAATACAACCCTGGGGGTACAAAATGACCCCAGGGTGTACAGATAGGGTTAAGCTGTTCCCTTTTTTTTTTCCTCAACAGGAGCATACTTTCCCTACACTTTTAGTGGCAGCAGTAGTGATCACATGATGTTTAATTCTTAGTACATGTTCGGCTGGTTCACAGCATTATTAGCTTGTTCACAATCATAACAAAAATCTACAAAACCCCAGCAATTCCATCTTTTCTGTAATCAAACTGTACATATACTGATGAGATCATTCATTTCTACTCCTCAAGTATGGTGTTTATTTGATGCTAAAAGGCTAAAGAAAAATGCAGTTATAGGGACATTTGTAGCGCTGAAAACTTGGCTTTCAAAATTGGCTGCTGACAAAGGAGGAATGGCCTTCGTATTCTAAGAGTTGAAATTATTTTTTATTTTTTCAGGTATTTGTAACTACAAGGGTCAGCCCTACCCGGCTGGAGCGACATGGTTTGATGGCTGTGACTTCAGTTGTAGCTGTGCCCAGGACGGCAGCTATTATACTTGTGTGTCCAGGTTCGTAGCAGAGCAATAGTGGGAAAAAGAAAATTTTCTGTCCCCGCGGTTTTATGCACCCTGCATAATTTAGCAAAATTTGGTAATTTTTTTCATAATTTCTGATTATTTTCCTTTATTATTCTTTGTTAAAATTAACAGAATCGCAAAATTATTCATTTTTGGGCTCAGTTAGCATAATTTCAGATTTTTTTTGGCGTAAAACCGCAGGGACAGGTAAATGCTGTCAAAATGTTTTAAGTTGGTCACGCATTGTCGAGGAGAAAAATGGACATCTTACAAAGTGTAATTATAATGTCAAAAAATAGGCAAAAAAAGGAAATGGGAAATGACCGCTTGTACAGGTAATTGTTTTATGCAGTCAGCCATTAGAGCAGGTTTAACCCTAATTTTTTTGCTACCTGTTAAAATACGAAAAGAGCTGGGATTTCACCAGGTTTCTATATGGTGAAGCTGAGTAGACTATGGGCTGAGAGCTAGAGTTAACTGATGTCTAAATTCCTTGTTTTGAGAAAAATTGACTTTTAT